AAGCTCACGCTCCCATCTCCGAGCGTTTGAACACGCAGCGGGGTAGCTTTTCGACCCAATCATGGCACGAATTCAGCGAAACAGAGGGCGAGCATCATCAGCATCAGCTGGAACTCCGTTTTTAAACTCACGCTCCCATCTCCGGGCGTGTGAACACACGGCAGGGTAGCATTTCGACCAAATCATTGGACGAGTTCAGCGAACCACAGGGCGAGCATCATCAGCATCAGCTGGAACTCCGTTTTCGAATTCACGCTCCCATCTCCGGGCGTTTGAACATACAGTAGGTATGCATTTCGACCAAATCATTGGACGAGTTCAGCGAACCACAGGGCGAGCATCATCAGCATCAGCTGGAACTCCGTTTTTGAACTCACGCTCCCATCTCCGGGCGTTTGAACACACAGCAGGGTAGCATTTCGACCAAATCATTGGACGAGTTCAGCGAACCACAGGGCGAGCATCATCAGCATCAGTTGGAACTCCGCTTTAAACTCACACTCCCATCTCTGTCTGAACACACCCCAATCTCTGGACGAATTCAGCGAACCGTCGGGCGAGCATCATCAGCATCAGCTGGAACTCCGTTTTTCAACTCCTCACGCTCTCATCTCCGGACGCTTGAACACACAGCAGGGTAGCAGTTCGACCCAATCGTTGAGCGAATAAAGCGAAACACAGGGCGAGCATCATCAGCATCAGCTGGAACTCCGTTTTCAAACTCACTCTCCCCCCTCGGGCAGAGTGAACGCACAGCAGGGTAGCAGCTCGATCCAGTCATTGGAAGAATTAAGCGAACCACAGGGCGAGCATCATCAGCATCATGTGGGGCTCTGTTTTCAACTTACGCCCCCATCTCCGGGCGTTTAAACTATTTAAACTATTAAATGAACGTTTAAATGCAGTTCGACCCATTGATTGGCGGAATTCCGCAAACCGCAGGGCGAGCAACATCAGCATCAGCTGGAACACCGTTTTTTAGACTCAGGCTCCCTTCTCTGGGCGTTTGAACTCACAGCAGGGTGGCAGATAGACGCAACCATTGGATTCGTCGCATTCAGTGAACCACAGGGCGAGCATCATCAGCATCAGCTGGAATTCCGTTTTTAAACTCACTCTCCCCCCTCGGGGAGATCGAACGCGCAGCAGGGTAGCAGCTCGACCCAGTCATTGGAAGAATTCGGCGAACCGCAAAGCGAGCATCATCAGCATCAGCTGCAACTCCGTTTTTCAACTCACGCTCCCATCTCCGGATCTTTGAACACACAGCAGGGTAGCAGTTCGACCCATTCACTGGACGAATTCAGTGAAACACAGGGCGAGCATCATCAGCATCAGCTGGAACTCCGTTTTTGAACTCACGCTCTCATCTCCGGGCGTTTGAACACAAAGAAGGGTAGCAGTCCGACCCAATTATCGGACGAATTCACACCACAGGGCGAGCATCATCAGCATCAGCTGGGACTCCGTTTCTAGACTTACGTTCCCACCTCTGGACGATCGAACACACGAAAGGGTACTGTACCAGTTCGATCCAATCATTGGACGAATCAGCGAACCGCCGGGCGAGCATCATCAGTTTGAACACTCAGCGGGGCAGTTCGACCCCATCATTGGGCGAATTCAGCGAACCGCCGGGCGAGCATCATCAGCATCAGCTGGAACTCCGTTTTGAAACTGAAGCTCCCATCTCCGGGCGCTTGAACAGAAAGCAGGGTATAGCACGTCGTTGGACGAATTCAGGGAACCGCAAGGCGAGCATCATCAGAATCAGCTGGAAATCTGCTTAACAGACCCTACCAATTCAGATCTCAACATATTCGGGGACGTGCGCCCAAATAGTTTAAACTTCGGCCTTAAATGAAGTAGTTCCGATAAAGGTGGTTTGGTGCCCAAATGTATGCTATTTTTTATTTCCTTAGGGGAACCCCTGCACATGGGCCCTTGAAAATCTCATCCAAGTCGCCCCCAGAGACAGGCCAAGCCCAAGGGAGGCACCCAGGGAGACCTCGCAGAGAAGGCCCACCTCGCCCGGGAGTTGTTTGGCGCCCTAACAAACCCTGCCCTTCGAATGGCTTAGGAAACGAAACCACAATCAAAGCTTAGGTACTTCGCATCCCAAACCTCTCTGATAAACCCACATAGAAAACCCTGAAGCCTGAAATTTACAATCCCCCGCTGGTTGCGAAAATTCGTTGCGCTCTCTGTTGCTGACCCCCTTAAGCATGAGATGGCGCCACTCTACTTCAAAGTCATTCTGGACAGATTCATTCCGCAAGCCGAGCTCGCGTCTTCCTCCCCGACTGTTTATTCGTCGTGGCAGATGCGAAGATACTCAATATGATATCATCGGCATGTAACTATAGTCTAAACTTAGTATAAGCCCCAAGTGTGCCAGGCAAACCTTGTCATCGCTAATGTTCTTGAAGTTGGTACCCTGAAACCGCCATGAACCCGACATCCCAATAGCTTTCATGCCCTACACGGGTTTATACGGTTTCGCCAAGCATGAGGCCGCAATAAGAGCCTTTACAGCCCGGACATTTGAAGCCCCAAGCCCTAAACCCTAAAACCCTCAAAAATCACGATACCCTTAAAGCCCTGCGCCCTAAACCATTGCGTAAAGCCCTAAGCCTACCTGCTGATGGAGGAGAGTGCGGGTCCTCGGAGCCTGGAACTTGAAGTTCCTACTCTCCATAATTCTACGGTTTTAGGCTTGGGCTTTGAAGCAAGTTAGGCGAATTGCTATGAATGCAATGTTCCTGCTACAAGATATTGTTCAGGGTGGATTGGGCTCTCTGCATGAGGTGTTGGCCCCTTTCGGAGCTCAGGTGTGAGCTTCGAACATGGCAAGTGGAGCGATGCAGCAAAGCTGCTGCATAGCCGACTGCACCGCCCGCACCAAGCGCCTGGCCCAAGAAGCAAATGATGGAAAAGGGGGGGGGGGTCCGAAAATAAGGGACCCTAATATACCCCCAAAGAAGGTACTCCCATTTTTCGGAAACTCTGAAATGGTCAACAACACTTGCCGACATGGTGCTCATACAACACAAGCGGTAATTGCACTCTGCGATGTGAAGCTTGGGGGTTCCAGCGTGTACTGTAGCATGCCGTAGCATCCTCTTCGGTGTACTTGTAACTATGCTTCGTTAGTCGAGGTCTTTGAGGCAAGCAGGAAGCATGGATGAACGTCTAGATAATGAACGATTTGTCGTATCTTAGAAGGAACTTCACTCAAGCGGTTACCACTCTGAAAAAAAGCTTTTTTATCAAGACGCAAAAGTTTACATTACTGTCCCGTGCCTCTAAAGAAGGCGCCACAAGACCCCGCAGTGATGCATCCCAGGCCTCGTTTCAAGGACTTTGCACTTTAACGAAAGGTTTGGGCGTCATGGAGTTTTTTGCGGTCTTGGACCCACGAAGGGTTTTAGTTTTAATTACGGCTTTAGCGTGCTGTGTGCGATGAGATACAGAGGGTTTGAAGCTTTAAGGGTTGAAGGTTTTCAGCTCCAGGCATTTGCGACGGTTTAGGAGTCTAGGGGGTTTGGGCGAAACTAATTTTACAGACTTACTATGTACGACATACTGGTCGATCGTTAACAGGATCAGACAGATCTAAGCAGGTGCAAAGGCAAACAGAAAGTACGCCTCTGAACAATTTCAAGCCACAACAGCTTTCAGTAAAGGGGAAACCTCCAACCACTGTGCTCATGGGGAAAGTGAATCTGATGATAGTGGCTTCGATGTGGCTGGTGTTGGTGACTGCTGCTGATGACGAAATTGATGCTGCTGCTCCCGAAGATGCTGCCGATGCCCATGTTCGCGAGGCGGGATTTTAGACTGCAAAGGTGGTGCCGGCCACCAGTACATATTGCTGCCGAAGATGGTGGAGCTTGGAACAAGACCGTGCCTATGCATACATAGCTGACCAGCCAATTGTACAAAACGCTGTGCTGTGCAACATAAAAGGCGAAAGTGTTTTAATGTATGACAAACCCTAGATTAGACTAGATATGCTTTGTTCCGGTGGTTGACCGTACGTGACACAAGGGTTTACATGTACTTACGGCCATGAGGTAACCCCTGCGAGTCTAACCGCTTTCTTGGCAACCGTATGGTTACCAATAACTATATAGTTCTAGCATGATTGGAAAGCAGAAGGTGGCTAGTACAGTAGCAGAAAGCGTGAGCACCTGCCCGTCAAAGCATTAAGCTTTTGCCGGCATCGGTTCTCGAAGCGCCAAGAACTGTAACGGAGTCACAGGTTCTGCACATCAGACAGTACCATATCGCATGCTGCTGTACTATGCTATCCTCAGATATACGTTGCAACAGTTGTCTTGCAGGACAGTGTTTGCCTGAATTCTGCGAGCTTGGTGGAAAGATTCGCTGCTCTGCTCTTGAGGCATTAACGGTCCTGCAGGTACATTGGCCAGGATCTGATGTGTAAGTGCGCAGATCCCTTACTTTGGCAATCCATCTCTGCAAGCACAGCCCCGGAAACGAAGTTCGGATGCGAACCCGGTAGAGTCCAGCATGATACAACAGAATGCCGACGCCCTTCCGCTCCGAGCCGACCAGGGAAGCTGCGGCCGTCCCGACGTCCTCGACGCTCCCGTAGGCCACAACTGCGGTGCCACCCTTCATAATAAGTAGAGGCGCTGGGAGGCTTGTAGTGATAACTCTTCGCACAGGTGTCGCCAACGGATTCACAGCACTGATCAACGCGGGTGTTGCAGAGTGTGGCCGGGAAAAGCAGTGTGGCGCAGGGATAGCATCATCTGACGGATCTCGGTATAGTTCCAGAAATGCACATCTGTCGCGAAGCTGGCCACTACCAGATGCAGTAGCAGCGGTTCGTACAAAGACCAAAGCCGAGCCACCACTTCTTGATTTCTACATTCTCACCCTTTTCCGAAGAGGGAGTTCCCAGAAAATAGGGGACCCTGATATAGTACATAGTGGGATCCTTAGTATAAGGACCCCAGAAATGGGTACCCCTAATTTTCGGAAACTCCCAAGTGGGAGTCCAGGATGGTCCTCACGAAATCCAAGGCTGTCTTCAGGATGCGCTGCTCGATGATGCGAAGTTGGCGCAGGCCCAGGTGCACGGGATCAAAGTGAGCCTTCAAGCAGCGCATCACCCTAACTCGAGCATCACCAATGTACGGGCCTTATAATAATTAGAATAGGGTTTTGGGGCCCATTATACTCTAGGACCACCAAAATAGTATATAGGCAGTTATTAAGGCCTCTATAGTAGTCACTCGCAATGGGAGGAATGACTCTCTGGCAAGCCTTAGCCAGAAGTCTCAGGCAATTTCCGGCAATCGGCCTTCTGCTTCATCTCTGCGTCGTATTGCTGCTCCTGCAAGTTAGAACCCCACGCCCTAAAGCTATATAGAACCCGAAAGCCCTAAAGCCATAAAACTGAAACTCTAAGGCCGTAAAGCCTTTTACAGAACCCAGCCCTAAGGCTCCAAAACTAAGACTGAAACCCTGAAGCTAAAAATCAATAAAGGTAAAGCCCTGAAGATCCCTGAATCCTTAAGGTCGAACATACCTCAAAAGCGCGTTTTTCTGCTAATTACAAAGGCTGTGTGCGAAGTGCGGAAGCTGTCCTCCTCAGTCAAGCTGGATGTGCGGTAAGCCTGGCTCGCATTCTTGGACATGCTTCACCTGTCTTAACCACGAAACCTTGCACCGAACTGCGCGCTTGCCCAGGAGTACGTAACAAGCCCAACCGTAAACGCTTTCTTTTCTCTGATTGGTGTGGTCGTTGCTGCGAAAAGCCTCATCATTATTGAATACTAGAATATAGTCGTCACGGCCCTAAGCTCCCTCGACACTGACAGATTTGCGCTTCATCGCTTGTCGAGTGCCTTCTGTCGGAGCTCCAGTGCCCCAATGCAGATGACCAACGCAGCGCGTGACACCCAGGCGACGCCTGTAAGGGCTCAGGGTTCAAGGGACCAGGGTTGAATGTTGAAAGGGCTAGATCCTTCCTTCCCGCCTACCTAGACAGGACGAGCTCGCATGCAGGGTGACTTCGAAGTACAGCTGACAGATCTACGGGATCAAGGCTTTCATGGTTTACCAGGCGATGTATCTTCAAATGAACTTACTACCTCCTCTGGCGACGGGGTCTTTAAGTATCATTACCCATACCATTCCTCAGGGTTCCTTGTTAAACATGCTGTGCCTACACTGTAACACCCCGCACAACACGAAATGCAACATAAAGAAGACAATAAGCGATCACAATACTCGAAGCATTTTCCCTTCAACCATGTCTGGGTTCTCGTTAAGGGAGTTTGATTTCATTTAAGTTACCATAATAAGGAGACCATATTATTTTCTATAAATCCTTATTAAAGGTAACGTAAATGATGTGGATGTCCTGCATGGCAGGACGAGGTTCTTCAGGCCTTGCTTGTAACTTTGCAGCCGGCTTCGCGACACAAAACCCTGTAGTGATGATAGGATCTAAACCCTAAGCTCCTAGAAAACCCTTTTTTGAACGAGGTCTCTCTGAAGCGCCTCCGAGTAAAAAAACAAAACAAAACCTAAACCCCAAGCTCCTAAACGGGGACGTTTGCTGACTACTGGACTGCAGCCTTCCTTCCTATCACTTCCCGCAGCCGATGCCCCAGCACAACCTCCGACACTCAAGGAGGCCTGCATGTGCCTAAACCCAAAGATAACTACAGTCTATGCCAATCAGCTCAGAGGCTCAAAGCAATGTTTCGAAGCCAATTCCCACCAAACCCAAAACATCCACCAAAACCCAGAGAGGAAAAACAAACTAAAATCTTAAGTCACCGAAACCCAAAGCGTTCAACACAACCACCGGAAACCCTAAACCCTATTTTGCATCCAGGCCTATTGCGACTGCCCTAGTCCCTAAACCCTATTAAAACCCTAATCCTTAAACCCTGCTCCTGGTGGCGGAAGCTTTCGGCCCCCTGCGGCCAACACGGCTGCCAAAGAGCTTTCGGCCGCTGGGCCAGAGGGCAGGGCGGACCAGTCCTGCAAGGCTAGGGTTCCTTTAAAAGGGGTTGAGGAAGGGATATATACTATAAGGGTATAAGGTTCCTTTAAACGGGGTTCTAGAAGGGATATATATATATACATATACATATACTTTAAGGGTGCTATAAGGGATGCTATACGGGTTCTAGAAGGGATAGTACTATAAGGGGACTATAATACGGGTGCTTTAAGGGATGCTACAAGGGATACGGGATACTATAAGGGTACTAGAAGGGACAATATAAGGGATATTACAAGGATTCTATAAGGGATACTACAAGGGTTCCATAAGGGATGCTATCAGGGTTCTTTCAGGGATACTATAAGGGTTCTCTATGGGATACTACAAGGGTACAAGGTTTCTTTGGCTTCCGCGAGAGGTGCGAAGCTGGATTAGGCCCAGTCGGCGACCGTTAACGCCTTTTTTAAGCACGGACTTGCAGTGTATGCCGGCAGCGAACCTCTAGGGCTCTGGTTGACCCTGAACCCCAAACCCCTACACCCTTTCTGAACGAGGTCTCTCTGAAGTGCCTCCAAGTTGCATAAACCCTGAACATCCCTGAACCCTAAACCCATGAACCCTTCCTGTTGCAATGCGACGAGCATTGTACATGTACAAACCATCCCAAGCTTCGCAGCTGGCTTCTGTTCGAAACTATACTGCGGCGGGCTCTTTATCTGGCACGAGTGACCCAAATTCCTGAACTATTGCACACATACACACGTACAAAGGTACATAAATGTGTACACATGTACATATGTACACAGGTACATACATACATACGTACATACGTACAAAGATACATATGTTCTCCCGGATATCTGAAAGTCCAATGAAGGCCAAAGAGGGCCGAATCCCGTCTGAAGTATACAGCCGCCTTATATGTAGCACCACCGTCCAAATTCGGTTCGGGGGTTGAGGGTTTACACTCTCGCAACTCGGACGCAGCCAGACGAGGTTCTTGGTTCGCATGGTCGGACTCCAGGTCGCTCAACTCGACTCTGAAACAACAGCTCGCAACAGAAGTTAAGGCCAGGGCTGAGGGTTTACGCTCTCGCAACTCGGACAAGCCAGACGAGGTTCTTGGTGCTAAGATGTGCTAAGTCGGCAGAAGGAAAGACTAGAAGGCTCACCCGACAGCCGAAAGAACAACAGCTCAACAGAAAGTAAGGCCATGTAGGACCAGCTGTCGGGCGGGCTGAGAGAAGACTCCCCGCATTGGAGGAGGGAGGCACACCAGGCATCCCCGATGTAAAATACAGCCAAAACCAAGGTAGTGCCACGGAGGACGAAATGCCTGGGAGCCCCAAAACTAGAGTACAGGAAAGGTTCAAAATACAAGGCAAAGGGAGTATGGGATACAGATGAAACCTATACAACTGGATCGTGAAACCAGCGAGGATGCAGAATTTAGGCGATTTCCGGAAACTACATGTGTGTCTGGACAGGCATGCAAAAGAACTATACACGACGGTACCCGCGTAACTCACCTCAGAGCTCACTTCAGGACGTGCATGTGTCGATACTGACTGGCCGGTACTGACGAGCAGCTGACTGTACTCAGGACCTCGTATATCCTGTGGAGGCAGTCTGGTAGCACTCACTTTGGGGTACCACGCATTCTGGATTCTGGCAGCCATCCGGCAAAATGCAGGAAAGTGGTCCGGCGAGGGCAGTCCTGTAGCGTTCACTTCGGAGTACTGTTCATTCTCGATCCAGGCGACTCCATCCGACAAAAGGCAGCGGAGTGGGAAGCAGCATGCTGTAGTGGAGCGGGAAAGGAGCCCACTCTAGTAGGGTCCAAGGCCAAACTCGAGGGAAGCAAAAAGTCTCCATTCCCCGGCACCTATCGGGTGACTCGACTCCGGCAGGAGACATGCTTCTCTCAAAGTCGCATCCACTGTGTGGTTGCAGACCATGCACCAGGCAGCTTGCCTTGTACTAGCCCAGAGAACATCGAGGCTCATGCAGAAAAGGTGGATCCTGTAGATGATTACATCCGCGAGTTGTTCGTGGAGCTCGGCATCAAAATGTACACTCCTGCCGAGTCTCAGAGTGCGCATTGGCGGTATGCAGTCTCCAGGGGCAGCCAAGTCAGAGGACGAGCTAGAAGCCGCGTTGACGCAGGGATCAGCTTTGCGGGAGGGGCCCCACATATGTAGCAGTGCAGCAGTCGCACCAGAACGAGATCCATGGCAGACCGCAGAGGCGCGGGTTCGTGGTTTGCTTAAAAGGACCTAGTTCAAAGGGAAGTACGGGAGCTAGAGGTGCAATGTTAACAGGAGTTATAGGGGTTCAGGACCGACCGACGGACGTGACCACGGGCACAAACGTCATCAGATCAGCATCACCAGGAGGCAAAGAGGCAATGACAGCAAGGGCATGCATCAGTACGGGCAGCAAGGGAAACAGTCCGGCAGAGGCAAAAAGCAGTCCAGCATAGTGTCATAAAGGCACGAATTCGCAGTAGCATGCAGCCAAGGTGCGAGAGACCTAGGTGCAAACCCAGGCAAAGAGCAACCTTCTTCAAAAGCCGACTTGGAAAGAACCGTCCTCATCCGTAAAGGCCTTCAATAGGGGCTGGATTTAGGATGAGGCCCCAGCAGGGGAGGTGTATACGCAGTTGATGCCATACGAGTGCTTCAGCTGTGCAGTCTAATCGACCCCAGGCGTCCATTACAGAGTCCTCAAGAAACCTAGCATCTTCACGAGAACAATAGGTTGTAAGGGGTAAGGGATGAGCTGCTCGCGGGAAATTTGAGACAACAGCATCCAGAGAGTCCAGGTAAATCCAAAGGTCAAAAACGCGATTGTAATACCAATGCCAGGCTTTCTTATACTCTCGGATGATGTATCTCAGCTCTCCCGCAGTCCAGCATGCAAGGTGGGACGGCATCTGTTGCAGGGCCGAGGCGATCTCTTGTGCAGCTAGCGGGAGAAAGGGTTTGAGGTGCCCCGGTTGAACGATCTCAAGGTGATCATCCTCCATCTTACACGGAGAACGAAAAACTACTGGCTTGAACCTCGGGTAGACTCAAACAACCAGTGTGGCACATTCCTCAAGTGAATCGACAACTTCGATGACCTCATGGGCATCCCGCTGCGCAACAGAAAGTTTCAGGGCATCCGGTAAGTTTAGTTGCCGTAGGCGTGGCTGGGAGCAGTAGCTACATCCGAAAAGGGAGCGTTTAATAGCCCCTTCAGAAGGTACAGGAAATCCTAGGTGTAGCAAGGAATGACGTACCTCCTCCGATAAGGTGCCACAGTGTATGGAGGCGAAGGTGATTAGTGTTACTCTTTGGGTGGGGTCTGTAGAGGGCAGAACATAACCAGCATGTAGTCTTTTTCTAGCATCAAAGATCTTCGGCTGTTGAAGGGCTGAGGGTTTAGGGTTTCAGGGGTTGGGGTATAGCGGGAACTCAGCGCATCGCCACAAATTCTCTCACGATATTCGAGTCCTCGTCGGCCATGGCGTAGCAACTGGCCACGACCAGCAATGCCCGCAGGCCTTCCCACTGAGGGTCAGTACATTTTTTGCATCCAGGCCTATTGCGGCTGCCGGGTACCTAAAACCTTAAACCTTTATATGCAGGATAAGGAGAAACGTCCTGGTATTCGGGCCAGAATGAACCGTTGTAACGTAGTTGTACCAATGTAGATCTGTAACGTAAGATACAGTATATGTAGTGTCATCTATAACATGGTACATTACAAAACAAACTAGGTCGTGAGGTAAAATCTATGAAGCGAGGCGGGTCAGAATTACACCTCAGACTCGACATTCCTAAACCCTAAACCCAAACCCCCCTATTTTACCCAGACTCTGCCGATCAGCTGGGAAGCTGCACTGCCAGACTAAACCCACTAAACCCTGAACCCTTTCGACCACGAACCCTGAACCCTTCATGGCTGCATAGGTTCTCGAAGCTTCGGAGAACAGGGACTTCTCGAAACCGGAATCCGCCCGACACCATGATCCATATCTGCAAAATTTTCGCAATGCGCCTCTCACACCCCCGCTTGCTGCTGGACGCCGGCTGAGGGACAGCTCCACCCCAAGCAGGTCCTTCAGGGACCGGAAACCGAGCTGAGCTTCTTTCATCGAAGCACAGCGTGATAAAGCATGTTTATTGACCATAACAATAGTACCTGTGCTGGTTCATCTTCCATAACTCCAAAAGAAATCTGAACAGAACGAGTCGAATTTCTCGAACGTCTTCTTGCTCCTCGGATCCACCTCTAATATAGGGGCCTTACTAATTAGACTAGGGTTTGGGGAGATTAGAAGAAAAGGAGCCACCAATATAGTATGGCTGGGTACTTATCCAGGCCCCTATATTATCCAGAGTACTTCTGGTGTCCTCCACGCCATCCCATGGAGAAGGGTCCACAACTCCCAGCCTTGGGCTGCAAACAGCACGGGAGAAGGGGAGTTTACTTACCATTGGTTAGTAGGGAATGGAGGAATAAGGTACAATTATAACTAGACTATTACTACCATTCTTCCATTCAGTACTAACCAAAGGTAAGTTTACAGTTGCTCGGGCTTCGAGTTTAGGGCCTTTGTTTTGAAATGCACGGCTTGAGCATCATGTGCCGGCATTTGACGGCGGTGCCGGTAAGGCAAGGGAAGGCGCCGCTCCATAAAGATACTGCGCAAGTCCAGTCGATATCAGTCGATATCATGTTCATGTAAATGCTGGCCGGCGCTGGGCTAGGGGATGTCCCTAACACGTATAGTTACCCAGCCGATCTGCTGGAGCTTGGTGGGCGCCAAAGTGCGAGCCGCGAGGATGGTTTCCACGTTCGTCCTAAAAAGTCGCCTAGGCGCCCTGAACGGATTGGGCAAGATGAAAACCCACTACTGAACCAAACGGCATGACGGAGTCTCGGAGTCCGATTCCGAAGAGCAAAGAAGCTTCGCAGTGGACCTTCCGACAGAAAGGCGTGCGATCGATGCATCCCTATACAGATACACTCTGACATGTGTTTATGTACATATGTGTTTATGTGAATGCAGATAAACATAAATTTGGGAATCTGTTTGTACATAGTGGGTGCTGATTCCGGCGACGACGAAGATGAAGATGACGGTGGAGAAGTAGATGACTTTGAAAGTAACCCATATGTGTTATTGAATCAATACTTATGGCATCTACCTAGTACAGCACCGACCAAGATGACCGGTGCATAGAGAAGCAAAGACGTGAGATAGTGATCAGAGACACCTACAAGCCGAAGATATTCGGCGATCAACTTCCCAAGCCTCTTTTCCACGGACTTACACTCGAACGTCTCGAAAAACTGCTAATTAAGACGAACTCCGCCCCTAAAGGGGCACATAAACCCAAAAACCCTATAAACTAATTATGAGCCCTATAAACCCTATATAAACCCTAAAAGGGGTTCCTTCTCAAAGGGCCGCGGGTTCTTAGGGCTGCCCAGGGGCTTTTCCAGCAAGGGAGCTCGGGGAAGCTTGCCGACGCAGCCGTGCCGTTTTGCCGACGCCTGCGGAAAAGAACAAGGCCCGACGAAGTTAGGGTTTAGGGGTGTAGGGTGCAAGGTTTTAGGGGTGTAGGGTTTAGGATTGATTCATTAGTTAGTGGCTTCGGGCACAAAGGGCCCGAAGGGCCACGATTGGAGGAATGGGATCAGGCTGAATGGTTTGCTAGTGTGGCGTGTATCTGCATCTACTTTCTTGCGAAGGCTTTCACCGTGCCTGCACATGTCTAGTGGCTACGCTACCGCAACTTCTACTGTTGCGCGTTAGTTGCATCAGAGGCGAGGCAGGGAGTGCTTAGCTCATGGCCCGAAGGCGTCTCAGGCAGACTGATGCTGACGCGACGACAAAGCTTAGTGATCCACTGCTATAGTGGATTGTGCCTTCCCACTACCACCAAAGCCATAATTCAAGGCTTGAACTCGTGCCGTGCAGGCTGCTCCACTGATGCCGCACTCTCGCTTCACATGCTATAAGTAATGACGCACCTCACAAGGCACGGCTCCGTGCAATCGTCGGAGGTATCTGGTATCTAAAACCCCGGGCTTGACACTTGAAGCTTCGCTGCACCAACTGACGCAAACCCGTGCGAGTGCCTGCACCAATTCGACAGAGATGGACACCACCTCCATGCAGCTCTGCAGAATCCAGAAACCCCTTGTTGGGGAATTTGGGGAAGAAGGGCCATCGGACGGATGGCGGCTTTCAGTGTCAGTTTCTATTCTAGGGCAAAGGATTCCACGTTTGAGGGCCTTGGAGGGATCATCTTGCCGGCGTAGGAATTGCGCCACCCCGCACACATACAAGACTCAAAGAACATGTGCACATGCGTCTGTGTGTATCCAACTATAAACATGCAAAAACCATGTGTGTACATTTTTATGTGTACATAGAGTTACACACATACATACATACTTACATACATACCCATACATAATATATATATATATACACACACATACATCTCTCTATACATACGTGTGTCACTTGTATATGCCTCTGAACACACGTATACACACCGCAAGTAGCCTCTTTTGCTGACAGGGTGATCTCCGCGGAGGTTTTCGCCAGATCTGCGAAGCCGTAGCGATACCTCTTGGGCTTGGGGTGGGGCATCAAAGGACCGCTCCGCTGACCGCGGGAGAGGGGGGTGAGAGGGAGTGAGAGAGAGCAACAAACAAAGCAAACACATGAAAACACAGATCAACGCGAAACTGTGATCCCACTCCGAACACCAAGTTGACCAACCTCAGGAAAAGTGAGTGTTGAAAGCGTCTAGTCTAGAAAGTGTATAGTAGGTCGTAGGTGTTTCCATGTCCCTGCATGCCACTCCTAAAGCCAAACTGCCATTGCTGGTGGTCTCCAAATGTCATCCTTCAGCCCAGCTGCAAGGAATCGGCAGCTGAGAGCTCTCCGTAGGATTGCAGGATCTCTCCGGGAGCTATGTGGCGGATCGCCCGGCCCCGCACGCTGCCTTTGTGACAGCGGAACCTAGGATGGCGAGAAGACCACGACACAGAAAGGTTAGTAAGGTGTCTTAAAACGGTGCATTCACACAAACACGCAAGTAAAAGTCTTCTGGCCAATGGTGAACCGAACAAGTCCAGCAAGTACCATACAACTCAGCAACTCCAAGTGTGGCTTCCCATGGTTGGCCTGCACGGTACACGGATGGTGCCAGGACTGCAAGGATCTCTTTGAGAGCCGTGCGCTCTGCGAAAAGTTCAACAACAATTGCAGGAAGCTTTCCGACCCCTCTGTCGTGTCCCCACCTGGTCCACAAACGGAACCATAGCTCCACCAAACCTCACAGGCAAAAGCTCCACTTTGCAGCAACGAAAGAGACCTCAACCAGGGCTGCACATCGGCAGAAGCACAAAGCCGAAGTCTGTGGGCTCAGACTGCCGAGTCCCAAGACGGCTACAGCATCCTATACTTCCCAAGGATGGAACGTAGTCGTAGCAATAGGCATGTGAGCACATATATATATATATATGTATGTGTACATGCACACACACACACACAAAATATCATCCACATACACATGAGCAGGCGCGTGTGTGTGTGTGTGTGTGTGTGTATTATATATATATATATATATATATATGGTACCCCCCCCCCAAAGATCCACGCTTTCTGTCTGTTTCGAGCTCTTCGTGTGCCATCCCCGTTTGTTTGTTCTTCATGTCGTCTGTATGTGTGTCTTCCTACGTGAATACCACAACATTTAGCAAACACACACGCACACACACACACACACACATACATGGTTGGGCGAATTCCGCTCCAAAGATAGTGGGTACCGGCCTCGGCCCCTTAGCCCCGGTACAAACCGGTACAACCGGTACAAGTTGTACCGGTCTTCTCTTGGAACATTGGAAGCATCCCCCCGGTACAAACCGGTACAACCGGTACAAGTTGTACCGGGGGAATCCAAGATTCCAAGATTCCAAGATTGCAGCGGAGTTTTTGTTGGACTCCTGGAATTGGATGGGCTCCGGTATCCAAGATTCCGAGAAAGAGTTCGCAGCAATCTTGGAATCTTGGAATCTTGGATTCCCCCGGTACAACTTGTACCGGTTGTACCGGTTGGTACCGGGGGGATGCTTCCAAGGTTCCAAGAGAAGACCGGTACAACTTGTACCGGTTGTACCGGTTTGTACCGGGGCTAAGGCCTCTATCCAAGATCCAATACCCGATGTGTTGCCGGCAACAGCCCTTGCCCCATGCCACGTGTAATAGAACTAACCAGTTAGTGGTAGTAATATGTCGTAGTAGTAAAGTAGTAGTCGTCGTCGTAGTAGTCGTAGTATCACATTGCATACTGCTGCATGTCATTCTCTATGTGCCGATGCCCCGTCGCAAGTCTGGCCTGAATCATCCGAGTAGTCTTCACTACTGCGCTCCAAAATGTCGCAGCTGACCTTCTCGGGTGTCGCATCCCTCGACAACGGGAGCATCTGCATGCGGCTAACGCCTACCACCAGCGCAACAACAGCGAACATGCCTTCCTCTTCCGCATCGGCTACCACATCCGCTCCTTGGGTACACAGTCTCGTTCGCAACGACAATGCTGTCCTGCAAGCGATTGTGGATGACAAGGTCAACGTCCACCAATCCCGTTTGCCCATGTCCAAGGACAGTCTCCGCACCCTGATGAACTATGTTCAAAGACAGTTGGACATGAAGGTTGGCATGGGTGAACCCTGGTGTCCGGCAGCTGATGGCCTCCTCCTTCGCATGCTCGAGAAGGCCAAGAAAAAGTCGAGCAAGAAGTCCCCTGCAGCCACGTGCCAGCTCAGCATTCAAGAAGACCCCACGCGCACACAGCCCCTTCCAATTGAGGATGCCGTCAGGGAGATTGGCCACAAGGACGACGACACCAATGACGACATAAAGGTGTGTGAGGACCCGAATGACCAGGACAACCCAAAGGAGCTCATCACAGCGAATGGCGACGACACCAATCACGACACCAATGTGGATCGCAAGGACGGCAGCAGTGACGACGACAGTTCCTCATCCTCCTCCTCCTCCACTGTGTGTTCGTCGACGGTGCGTCTTATCAAAAAGACAGACACTAGTCAGTGGACTACTGGCTGGTCTGACATGTGGACATTCACGACTGAGCAGCTGGAGACGAACTTTCACATTCCTAAAAGGCGTCGCCTGTGCTACAAGTTGCTCCGCGCCATTCAGTACAGCCACGGCGAGCTGGTAGGCTGAGCCGCACACACAGGATGTGGCAGTCCAGTGACGGAGCAGTCACTCGTATGATCTCGTATGTGGGTTTGGCTGGAGGCTAAACTACACCTAGAGGATGTGGCATTTCTTGCGTTGGACGACGGCAGCGGATGAAAAACGATGGCTCGTTCGCTGGCTGTGCGCACGACATGAGTGCAGCCAACATGTATGAATATCATGCCAGATCATGCCAGCCTTGTGCCGATATCATAGGCGTGTCCTCTGAGGGTGCACCGTCTTGCATAGACGCTTCGTGTGATGATGCCTCGTCTTGCATAGACGCTTCTCCTGAGGATGCGTGGTGTTGCATAGACGCTTCTTGTAAAGATGCCTCGTCTTGCATAGACGTTTCTTGTGAGGATGCATCGTATTGCATAGACGTTTCGTGTGATGATGCCTCGTCTTGCATAGACGCTTCTCATGAGGATGCCTCGGTTTGCATAGACGCTTCTTGTAAAGATGCCTCGTCTTGCATAGACGCTTCTTGTAAAGATGCCTCGTCATGCATAGACACTTTTGGTGAGGATGCGTGGTCTTGCATAGACGCTTCTGGTCAGGATGCATCGTCTTGCATAGACGCTTCTTGTAAAGATGCCTCGTCTTGCATAGACGTTTCTGCTGAGTTTCATCCGTTCTTACACATTGTGGCAGCGCGTGAATTATCATTCATATTGTCCTACTGTGCAGCATCCTGTGGGTCACGCAACAGTACGAAGCAGCAGTTTGACTGTAAAACGGTTGCTCGTGCGCACTGCATGGACAGCTGTGCTTTCGTAACACCACACAACCCCCGTGGCTGATCAAGCGTTGGCTCTGTGCAAAGCTCCATTGACCTGTCACTAGACACTGCTGAAGGACTGACACGCACGTCATCATGGCAGAACTCATGGACTCCGTGATTGCGAAGGTTGCTGGGAAGGAATGGCAGTTCCAGTCACTGCCACTTCCCCAAATCGGCCACCTGTCCGACATTGACGATGCAATTTCACTTCAGCAATTCCTGTCGGCATCCTGCCGCAGATGTGACGGTGTCAAAACCACTACGCTGATCTTTGACGTCCATATGAAAGTAGCGGAGTACGGTGGACTTGCTCGGTTGGGTGAACTGATACAGCAGGGTGAGCTCACGGATCTTCCTCCTTCGCTACGTGTCCAAGAACAACTCCCACCGGGCGCGAAGATGGGGGTCATCATCCACAACCTCCAGGACGGCACCATGAACATCATCAAAATGTTTCACTTCCCCGAGAAGGTGGGCATGCCTCATGCCAAGAAGATATGCACAGGTGATGTGTATATTCCTGTCTACAAAGCAGAGTCGGGGCCACACTCTGTGCGGAAGGCCATCCAACACCTGTTGCAACGGCTGCCTGGGTTTCGAGTTCTTTGGAACAATGTTTCAGAAAAGCAACCTGGAATACGTCGTGCTCAGACGGCACAGTGGGCGCCAGAAGATGAAGAACTCCGCAGAGGCATAGACTACATCAATGACAACGCCCCAGAAGGTGATGCTCGCAATGAGCAAACTTTCTGGATACTCAGCAACATCCGGGAAGGCTCAGGGTCTCCTATAAGCGGATGGCCTGAGTCCAAGGTCCGCAACATGTGTGTGAACAAATCCCGCGGCATTGCGGGTGCATCACCATGCTACGACTTTCCTTTGCATACCTACAGTATGAAACCCTTCCTGTCGGATGTCCTCCTTCCCATGATCTACCCTCTCATGGTCCTCCACGGCGTCATTATGATAGGATGGCCGGGTGTAGGCAAAACACCGGCCTTGATTGTCATGGGTCTTGCGATGGGCCGACATCACCTCAAGAGACTTGGTGTTGAAGGAGTACCGTCCTGGAGACGCGACAAGTCCTTAGAGAACTTCAGACAGCGAGTTCCTGTTCCGGGGGAAGCTCTTTTCTTGGATGATCCAAATCGCAACAAGGTTGATCTCGCGGACCTCAAGTCATACCTGACAGCAGAAGAGGATCAGACTTGTAGTGCACGCTACAATGATGTGAAGCTCATGCGGGGGCAGCCACGCCTGTATGCAGGAAATCATCTTGCCAAGGCCGATGAGCCGGAAGCGGACTCTCGCACAACCATCAAGCCTGAGGAGCTGTTGTGCCTGATGCGCCACACGTTCCCGGATGAGAAGGATGCAGACATCATGGCGTGCTTGAAGAGGGCGGTGGTGTTCGTGTTTGGCAAGTATGCCTTATACCTTCGGCTCCCGTCTGAATCGGCTGAGGCCATGGTGCATCGCATTCAACGCGACGACCTGCATCTTGACCTACTTGGTCCGCACGACAAGCAGTTCCTCTCGGATTACAAGAGTGGGTACTCATCCAAAGACCCGGATTTTGCAAGCCATGTCCAGCGAGAGCAGGACATGATCCAAGCAGCCTATCAAAAGATGAAAGACGCCGGGCACATAAAGTCTTACTTGGAAAAGTGCGACCACGAAATCCAACAGCACCTACTTCCTCGCAGAGCACTTGTCCGGCATCTTCCGTCTTCTCCTTCTTCTGACGAAAATGACATTCCCGCAACAGTGCCATTCTCTGTACAGCTAGCTGGCCACGACCAACCCCGCCGCCGCATTACTAACTCGACGAGCTTCACCTATGGCAACAATCCGAAGCGCCGCTTGACCTCAAAGACTTCCTTGGGCCATGGAGCTTCTATGCCGTCCTCCTCGGCGTGTCCAGAGGAGCTTGCGACTGCAGCGGAAGAGTCGATCATTGAAGAGCCCTTGTCCGCAGCGCCTGTGCCTGAGCCGGAGCAGCAGCCTGAGGAGACTGAGGCTTACTCGATCGGCGATGAGATGGACGTTGATGACGGGGACAACGTTCCCGATGAGGAGGCGGCGCGCTTTTTGCACGAGTAGGGATTGCCTGCTCTGCAGCAGTGCAGAGTTCAGGACCGATAGTTTTGCTTTATCCTCGGTCTTGCCCTCCCTGACACTAGTAGCACCTGTGCACCGTGCAACGACACACCGTCGTAGCCAAAATGGCCAGTGCCTTCTGCAGACATGTTGCAGCTTCATGTTGCTTTGACTGCTTTGATTTGTAACCAAGATGTGCCTCAAGGCTCGAAACAGTAGTTGCGCGTGCTAGCTGCCCGGAACGACCCTGTCACGAACGGGCGTGCCATGGCCAAGACGTTGGAGAAGAAGCCTGTGCGCAATTTTCCATGCCCCAAAAAGGGCAAGATGCGCATGGCTCTAAAGCAGAAGCTGACGAAGAAGCCAGCGTCCAAGCTAACTCAAGGGAAGGCATGGGCATCGACTCCCTATGTTCGGGACGGCGACAAGGCCCCTCGAGTTGACCGGCTTAAATGGAAGCGGACCTTCCAAGAGCTTGCAGGCTTGACGGAGAAGGAGGCCATCGAGCTTCTCATGCGGGATGGCCTCTTGCCGAGTTGGGAAGGAGCCAGCTGTCCATTCTGCACAGAGGGTATCGTGGGCCCGTTGCAGGATAGAGACTCGGGGCTTCCACGCTACCGTTGCCGACGGCGGAATTGCCACAAATTTATCACCCCGCAGCACTTGCACCCTTTGTTCTCAGCAACCCGGGGACCAGAAGGACAGACGCTTGGCCTCCAGGCGGGTCTGCTGCTTCTACTTCTTGCTGGCGTACCATCCAGTAGTATCCACCTCGTAACCCAAGTCAACCACAAAGTCGTGGAGCGTCTGCACAAGAGCTTGGCCTTTGTTCGCAAAGCTTATGTGGAGCATGTCCAAGCCGGTATGGTCTTTGGTGGTAGGAAGAACGCCTGGCAGGATGTGGAAGTGGACGAAACCTCTTTCGACAAGAAGCTCGTTCCCATAGATGAGGTTGAAGTACCAGAACGGAACATGAAGTGGGAACAGTGGGTCGGAATGGTGCAGCGAGGCAAGCCGACCTCACTCGTTCTTCTTCGTCTCTCTCCGAAGCTTCTTGGCAGCAGTTCTGATGTTACCAACTGTAATGAGCTTCTTCAGGGGTAATTGAATCTAAGGCTAACCAAGAAGAGATCGCCGGGGCCGGGACCTATTCGGAAGGATGAATGGCGCAACATCGCAGACAAGTGGCTCAAGGACAAGCAGATCATTCTACACACAGACAGTGCGAAAGCATACAAGCAAAAGGTTCGTGGAGTACACCACGGGTCAGTCGTCCACCAGAAGAAGCGGGTTAAGGTCGGTGGCGTGTGGACGTGGCAGCAGCCGACATACGTCAAGCTCAAGAAAATCACTCTTCCCACCGGGCGAAAGCTGACTGTCAAGGTTGGCACGCAGATCGTCGACCGCTCTTGGAAGTTCATCAAGAGCCGTTTGAGGTTGAATCAACATGTCCAGACGGGCTCGGCATACATGCAGGCATGCATCAGGTCCGCTCAGTACGACTACTGGCACCGTGGCCAGGACCTTTGGACGTGCACGGGTGCTCTGCTGACGTGGTACATGCGGAAGATCCTGCAGTAGGTCGGGCAGTGAGACCGCCTAGCCACGTTTGTGTCGAAGCCGATGCTAGATGGCTTAGTCGCGATTTTGATCAATGACGGCTTCTTCACAGCCACAATGCTTGAGACGCATGCTGACTGCTGCCGCCAAAAAACAGCATTGTCTCTGGTGCATTACAACAACCCCTAAAGCTCCAAGTGTCCGCATGGTGTATACTTTGGCCTTAGAATAGCCTCTGTATTGGTATCTTAAGGTCGAAGTATATACTGTATGGGTACGTGGAGTGTAAACGGATCTGCCGAAGCTTTGCTTTGTCTTTGCTTCGCGTCTTGGGGGAGTGTGGCAAACGACCTGAAGACGCATCCGCATTGCGAACACGCGTTCGTCAAACAAAGGCCTAATTAGCACGTGCAGACGCGTTCTGAAGACGCATTGGGTGAAGGCGCAGACGCATTGGCAGGCGCATACGCATGGTGAAGATGCATTGGGTGGCGCAGACGCATTGTGAAGACGCATTGGGTGAAGGCTCAGACGCATTGGCAGGCGCAGACGCATGGTGAAGACGCATTTTGGGTGGCGCAGACGCATTGTGAAGACGCATTGGGTTGCGCAGACGCATTGCGAAGACACATTGGATAGCAGCGCAGTCGTGTTCTACATGCACCACCGTATGGCGATTGCAAGCCACATTGCCTACTCCATACAGAAGCTCGGGTGAGGGTGAGCCAACAACTCCAACAACCTCATCGGTTACCGAACCTCAGGCACTCAAGGTGAGGAGAGCAACATATCGAGACCCAGTCCTCAAACATGGAGTCTCAGAGAACCACCGGACTTCATCCACATGCCACAATGACTGAAATGGGTCTGTGGTACGCGCCCTTAAAACTCACCGTCATCCTCATGACCGACATCACCATCGACATCTTCGTACTCAACACCATAATAATCATCGTTTTCGCGGCATCGTCAGCTCCGTCACGATCATTGTGCCATCGTTTGTCTCCATCCCCGATCACCCGATGTCAAGACACCACATTGTCGTTGTTTTTTTCGTTTTAGAAGTGTAGTCGTGCTTGATTGTATTCGTATATTCCTCCCCGTGTATGTTTATCCTTAGTGTCCATCACGCGTGTATCCTATGCATAAAGACGTACATGAGGGTTCACACATATTGCATATATATATATATATATATATATATATGGTAATATATATATATATATATATATATATATGGTCTTGTAGGTGATGTAGGAACAGAAGGCTTTCAGACAATGCTGTGGAATGGAAGTGCTCTTTCGGATTATTTGTGTCCTATTTGAGGGGGTTCTTTCCGAATAACGCCAAAAAGTGCGGATCTTTGGGGGGGGGGAAGCATATATATATATATATATATATGTGAGTATAGTTGCTGTAATCGTTATGTATGTATGCATTTATGTATCTGTGTATGCTTGCACGCACGCACGCACGCATGCATGCATTCGTGGATGGACCGAACCCTGCAATCGCTCGCCATGCCAAGGCGCCAGGGCTGCACGCGGCTGAGTACCACGGCACAAGCGGCCACATAGGAAGCCAAAGAGGTCCTGATCAAAATTAGGGGTTGCGGCGCTAAGGCGAGGCAGTTTAGGGGTCTTCGTCTGCCATTTAAGATTGTTTGTGTTAAGGGCTCTTTTCCTTGCCGTTGCTGGTGCTGCGACATGTAGGGGCAGCGACTTGGTCGTAAACTCGAAACTTTTGTGCAACTGCTGGCCTGTGACGACTCGAAACTCTGCAACCCTAAACCGGTGAGCCTCTTTGCCACCGCTACACGTGAAGATCCATAATCGAGCCATAATCGAGCAAGCATCATCATTGCAACTCAAACAGCGATGGTCCGACAATAGCCGGTGTCATAGTATCCAGGATCCAACGATTCTAGGAGTCATAACAACAACAGCGATATCAAGAATGATGTTTGCCCCCACCACCCTCCCGGGCCCACACAACCGCCGTCCGCCGGTACCCAGGCCCTGTAGCTCTGCGGTTTTAGGGTCTCTAGAGTCTCTAGCGCCAGTCTAGCGCTACAGTGCTAGTCATGATGAACATATGCAAAACACCACTACAGTCACTAAAGAATCGAAGTGACAAAGATATGCATAACTAGCAACTACTACTGTAATCATACTGATGACAGAACAGAAGAGACAAACGGAGGCCTCCGGCAACCCAGCGAGTCGAGCACTGGCTGCAGGATTTCGGCTTCGGATCCTGGGAAAGGACCTCTTGAGGTCCGAGGATAAACACAGGCACCCTACAGTCATCGTTAGAATTGGGTTCCTTTATTTTCTTAAGGGTTGTGCAAGAGATACCGTGGATGTTTGGAAAGAATATAATACGACAAACAACAAAGAGCACTGAACGTAGCAGTCAGGAGCGTAAGCGCTGCTGCTTGGCTGCCACTGGCGCCTCGAGCTCAGTTCCATCCTCGGATACTGCTCCCGGGATGAAGAAGCGGTTTAGGGTTTAGGGTGAAGATGATAGGTTCGACAGGCTCCTGCGTGCTTCAGATGTTTCAGGTGCTTGGGGTTTCTGCCACGAGTGCAGCAGCTCCGAGATCCAGGCGGGCATTTACAAGTCTGTGCAAAAGGGAGAACGTGATCATCGTCATCATAACTGCCATCATCACTTTCTTGTGCTACGACATCATTACTGTCATGTGCAGAGCGTGTGGGGCCCATGATTCCCACCTGTTTGGTGCCTAGGGTTTGCGGGCTTCACGAAATCACAGAAATAATCAGTTGCCTGGCTAGGAGCTGAACTGGGGCCTTAGGCGGAACTAGAGTGACAACGACTTGCCGTGACCCGAAATTTCCAACACGAAACATCTCACCGTAGCTCCACCTGATGCGAGATCTCAGCTGTCAGCCCCTGGGGGACGCATGAAACCACCCAAATCAACCCTGCATGTGAAGCCCAAATGCTTGCGGAGCGACACTTCCTAAACCAAATCGCCCTAGCCTTCGAGGCAAGTTGCTAGTAGCTGCCTCGCCGAGTGATCACCTTGTGGCCAATGCCAGTTCCAGGCCAGCACGCAGTCCGTTGGTGTAACCTTCAGAAAAAGATTGGGAGTTTCCGAAAAATAGGTTATTTTGGGGTCCTTGTAATAAGGATCCTAGTATTTAGGGTACTATATATTAGGGTCCCCTATTTTAGGAAACCCCCAATGGGGTTTCGGGGCATCATACATACAGTAAGGTTAGACCGTATAAGGACCCAAGGCTTCTTAAGCCAAAACATGCGGAAACCAGAAGCCATACTGTTGATGATTCAAATCCTGCATTACCTTAAGGACCCTAAACTATGGGAATCATGGTATATTCCTTCTTGTGGTTCATGCAGGATTTATATCATCAACCGTAGCATTCCGACCCCTGCGACCTCCCCACGACTTTCCTGTAGAGGGAATGTGGCAAGGGTTGCAGAGTAGTCCTTCCTCTGGGACAGCCTCCCTCGGTGTTTGTTCTTCTCTCTCTCCCTCCGCCATTGCATCTGGTGGGACATCAGGTTTAGGATGATTTCAGCACTCAAACTCGGACGAACCATGGCGAGGATTCCGGTTTATGATGATTTAGGATTTCGGGTCAGGGGCAGGGGCACCGACCTTTCACAGCAGTCGAAGGAACAGCTGGGCACAGCTTTGGCCACCACTCGCTGTCTGCATCTCTTGCAAGAAGGAGAGCCTTGGCATCGTAGAGGGATTATGGAAAGGTTTAGGGTTCCTTGTAAGGGTACTTTAGGCTTCGAAAATAGGGTTCCTTTTAAGGGTTTAGGGTCTACTTAAAGGCTTACGGGACCTAGTTAATCCCACTTAGGGGACTTTTAACCCCAATTATGAACCTACTAAGTCCCATGATCCTCTAAGTAGGGATTCGGGGATAGGGTTTGGCGGCTAACGGGTTTAGGCTTGTTGCGTGCGTTTGCGTGCAAAGCTCAACGACTATAATGGAATCTATGTGAGGGAACTAGGAAAGCTGCAGCAAGCTCTGCAGAACACTAAGCATCAAACCTTTGCGAGCCTCTAAGGCAGAAGCAAAAAATACATGATACTGCTACTCTGGAAGGCTAATTACTTGCCAACTAGCATGCTCCTCATCAGTCTCTGGAATCAGTGCACCAAAGGTGCATACCTTTCCTAATGTGGAGCCAAAGAACGCACCGCATACAGTACTGGACCTAACATCCTCAGCTCGCGCTCACAGGTAACATGACGGAATGATCATCGATTGTATCTAGTGGAACCGCGATACGTCTTTCGAGGAGGTCTGCGCAATTTTGGCACTGAGGTCTTAGCTTCCGGGCAGGAGTTTGGAGCTGGGCTTGCTTGAGATGAGCTAGTTAGCTAGTTTGGAGCTGAGCACGTTGGACGAACGGGCTAGCGACGGGGAAACAAATCGTTTTAGGATGCTTCCGCTGTGACTCTTGGGACTTTGCGGGCAGAGGACGGCCGCCAAAGGCAGTTGGCAATCCACATCAGGATCGAAGTGGAGCCACCTGCATTCACATGTCGACGGACAAACGCGCGCGCAAACTTCGCAAGTGACCCGCACGTTGACAAACCGTAAACCCCTGAATCCTAAACCCCTAACCGCAAGCCCCCAAACCAGAAACCCAAGACCCTATTATAAACCACTAATCCCAAGCCCTTAAACAGAAGCCCCAAACCCCACCATAAACCTTAAACCCCACCCGCGTAAACCCTAAACCATAAATCCTGATCCCTTTTTTGCATAGACTTGTGTATGCCCGCCTGGATGTCAATCCCTAAACCCTAATCCCCCCACCTCTCTGGGAGGCCGGCAGAGCTCAGCAGCTGTGCCGCAGATGGTCGGCCTGCGGCCGAAGGAGCAGTTTTTGGGGATATTGTAAGGACGTTAATAATTAGAACCAGAACAAGGTTTAGGGTTTAGGGATGTCTAGGGTTTAGGGTTTAGCGGCCTTAATCATTAGACCAGGTTTTTTTCCCTCCCACCTAG